CGCTTTCTGATACGATCAAACAAGGAAGACCGAGAAACCACACAAGCTAGGACCCGACTGGGCTCCGAAATATCCAATCTAACAAACTAGCTGGCTAAGGCCTGAACATCCATCGCCATGGGCCTCTCTGCTGCTGGTAGATAAGCCAAACTCCCAAAACTCTCCGCCCGGCGACTCAAAGCATCGGCCACCACATTGGACTTCCCTGGGTGGTACAAAATAGTGATATCATAATCCTTAAGTAGCTCTAACCACCTCCTTTGTCGCAAATTAAGGTCCTTCTACTTGAGCAGATGCTACAAACTCCGATGATCAGTGTAGATCTCACAAGGAACACCGTACAAATAATGACACCAGATCTTCAAGGCGTGAACAATAGCAGCTAACTCGAGATCATGGACAGGATAATTCTTCTCATGCACCTTCAGCTATCTGGATACGTAGGCAATCACCCTACCGTCCTGCATCAATACCGCTCCAAGGCCAATTCTCGAGGCATCACAATAGACAGTATAAGACCCCGAACCTGTAGGCAATATCAATACTAGGGTTGTAGTCAAGGCTGTCTTGAGCTTCTGAAAGCTCCCCTCACACTATTCCGTCCACCTGAACGGAGCACCCTTCTGGGTCAGCCTGGTCATTGGTGCTGCAGTAGATGAAAATCCCTCAACAAATCAACGGTAATAACCCGCCAAGCCAAGAAAACTACGGATCTCTGTAGCTGAGGATGGTCTGGGCCAACTCTGCACTGCTTCCACTTTCTTCGGATCCACCTTGATCCCTTCATTCGCTACTACGTGACCCAAGAATGCCATGGAATCCAACCAGAATTTACATTTCGAGAACTTCGCATACAATTTCTTTTCTCTCAAGGTCTGAAGCACTGTCCTCAGGTGCTGATCATGATCTTCCCGACTCTGGGAGTACACTAGAATGTCATCAATAAAGACAATGACGAACGAGTCAAGCTATGGCTGGAATACACTATGCATCAAATGCATAAATGTTGCTGGGGCATTGGTCAGCCCAAATGACATAACAAGGAACTCGTAATGACCATACCGAGTCCTGAAAGCAGTCTTCGGGATATCAGGCTCTCGAATCTTCAACTGATGATAACCTGAATGTAAGTCAATCTTAGAAAACACTCAAGAACCCTGTAACTGATCAAACATGTCATCAATACGAGGCAAAGGATACCAGTTCTTCACTGTAACTTTGTTGAACTGGCGATAATCAATGCACATACGCATAGAACCATCCTTTTTCTTCACAAACAAGATAGGAGCACCCCAAGGTGACACACTGGGCCGAATAAAGCCTTTATCAAGCAATTCTTGTAACTGTTCCTTCAACTCCTTCAACTCAGGAAGGGACATAAGGAGGAATAGAAATGGGCTGAGTGCGCGGCAATAAATTAATGCCAAAATCAATATCTCTGTCGGCAGCATGCCCGAAAGATCAGTTGGAAACACATCAGAGAAATCTACTGGGACTAAATCAACTATAGGGGTATCAATACTGATATCTCTCACATAAGCTAGATACGCGTCACACCCCTTCTCAACCATTCGGTGAGCTTTAAGAAATGAGATAACTCTACTAGGAACGTAATCTAAGGTACCCCTCCACTCTAATCGCGGTAAACCTGGCATAGTCAACATCACGGTCTTGGCGTGATAATCAAGAATAGCATAATGGGGCGACAACCTGTCCATGCCCAAGATAACATCAAAATCTACCATGCTGAGTAATAATAAATCGGCTCTGGTCTCAAAACCACTAAGAGCAATCAAACACGACCGATAAACGTGGTCCACAACAAGAGAATCTCCTATAGGAGTAGAAATATAAATAGGGGAACTCAAATAATCCCGAGATACGCCCAAATGCGGGGCAAAATAAGAGGACACATAGGAATAAGTGGAGCCTGGATCGAATAGAACCGATGCATCTCTATGACAGACTAGAACAATACCTGTGATGACAGAATCGGAGGCAACAACCTCAGTACGGGCAGGAAGCGCATAGTATCTAGCCTGGCCTCCCCATCTAGGGCGACCTCCACCTCCCCGACCTACACCTTTGGCTGGCTGAGCAGGTGGGGTAGCAACAGGTGTTGTAATCATTGCCTGGGAACCATGTGGAGCACGCTGTGGCTGAGAAGTCTGTTGAGGTGCACCCTTCCTAAGTCTGGGGCAATCCCTCACCATATGGTGTGTGTCGTCACACTCAAAATAAGCTCTGGGAGGACGTGGCGGCTGTGACTGGCTCGGGCCAGGTCTGCTGGACTGACCACTGAAAGCACCCCGTGCAGGAGGCCCATAATAAGGCTCCTGAGGTCTAGGAGGAGCTGGAATACCACTGGCTGCTAGAAGAGCTGAATGAATGGGGCGACTCATATAACCCTTACCATGACGAACTGTAGCTGGGGCACGGGCACCAGAACAATGGCCTGACTCTCGAGACCTCTTGGCCTCTCTCTCCTCCCTATCCCGAGCAAGCATGCCCTCTACTCTCCTAGCAATACTCACCACCTGCTGATAAGAAATATTCATCTCTAACTCCCAGGCCATGCTAGACCTGATGCTGGGAATGAGCCCCTCAATAAACCGGCGAACTCTCTCGCAAATCGTAGAAACCAAGGCCGGTGCATGTCTAGCCAAGTCACTGAAACGGACAGCATACTCCGAGACAATCATAGTACCCTGGCGCAAATGCTCAAACTCCGCGCGCCATGCGTCCCTGAAGCTCTGAGGGACATACTCCCTCAAAAACGTATCCGAAAACTGGGTCCATGTAAGGGAAGCTGCCTCAGTCGGACTGTCCAACTCAAAAGTACGCCACCACTGATAGGCTGCCCCTCGAAGCTGGAAGGCAGTGAAAGAAACCCCACTCGACTCTGCTATACCCATGGTGCGGAGGATACGGTGGCACTCCTCCAGAAATACCTGAGCATCCTCTGGTGCTAGACCACTGAATGTAGGAGGGTCGTACTTCTTGTACCTCTCAAGCCTCCGCTGCTCCTCCTCTGAAACCGATGTCCTACCCTCGGGCTGAGCTGGGGCTACAGGCGGTACCGGTATAACCTCTAGGATCTGATCAACATGAACCCGCTTCTCCTGAGTGCGGGCGACGGGAGTTTGTTCTCCTCCCCGGCCTGAGATGTGGCTGCAGCAAGGGGAATCAACCCTGCCTGAGCTAAAGTGCTGTACATGCTCATGAACTGTGCAAGGGTCTCCTGCAGATTTGGAGTAGTAGTAGGCGTATCAGGCGCCTGGGCTCCGGCTGGAGCTGCTGGTGGCTCCTTTGTAGCAGTTCGCGCGGGTGTGTTGATACCCAATTTTTCACTAGGTATTTTTTATACCCAAAATACTTCCAAAATAGCATGTATGTGCATATATAAGCACACCCAAGAGTTTTGGTATTTTTAATGATTTTTCTAAACCAATTTACTACCTATTTTAATACCACAAAATCCAATAATTATTCTCAAAATAATCATTTTTGGTGAATAACTTATTTCATTCCCATATTTACACCAAAATATAATTAAGGTGATTTTTGTACATTTTTACAAATTTATTTGGTATTTTTTAAAGCTAAATTGTGTGTAATTGCAATTATAGCCTATTTTACGATTAATAGCATTTTATAATTATAAAATTATTTCCAGTATTTTTAAATTAATATTTATATAGTATTTTGTTTGCTCAGTATTTTTAATTTGCTTTTGAAATCATTATTATTATTTTTATAAATAAAAGGGGAAAATTGGCTATTTAACACTTAGCCTATTTCTATTTCAATAACAGCCTTCCCTTTTCAATTGTAGCCTTAATTTGGCCCAATTCCGCCCCCAAATTAAACGACCCAATTCCTAAAATACCCAACCCACGACCCGTTCTCAAACCCGCCCGGTTTTCTTTTAAAATCCAAGCCGTTCATCATTTTGATCAACGGCCAATATCCTTCCTTTCCTTTTTTAATCGCCTAACCCCTCTAACCCTACCTCATTTGCATAGAGACGCCGCCTCTAACTCCCTTCGTCTCCCTCAAACCCTCTCTAGCCTCTCTGAAACCCTAATCACCTCCCACCTTATCTCACCTCGTTTCCACCGGAATCCATGGCATCTCCTGCCATAGATGGCCTGTACTCACCCTCTCTCACCCCTAAGCCTGAGCTACTCGAAGTTTGGAANGTACCCCAGAGGAGTGAGAGGCGCAATACATAAAGTGCATTTGGATGAAAAATTTTCATTTTCTAATCCAATGATGGAAGTATAAGAGTGTGTGCAATCAAAATGAAAAAGAAAGTTAGAATTACCATTCTATGCTAACATGATCAAAAGTTATAGAATAGAGAACTTCATAATTATTGAGCTTATAGTCCCCAATAAAAAAAAAATACTCTAGTAAATCAGTTTTCAGAAGAGGATTAGAAAATGTTAGTCTAAATCCACTGAAAACATGGTAAATAGTGCTATAAATTGTCACTGTGACCATTTATTGAAATAATGACAAAGGTTTTTATTCGATGTACAAATATGATGATAGATATTCTTTCAATAAACAGTTTGTTAATGTTTCTGCTTATGCCCCATGGGCAATAGATGCCATATAAACATGAGAAGTTTAAAAGTTTATCAGAATCCTTTTGGTAGAAGATGCAAAGCAAGACTAAACTTTGGGAAGCATTTTCAAGATTGAAAGAATAGGCCGAATTATAGTAATTACCAATTAATTAGCTCAGTCAGTTTAAATCCTACAACTGATGCACCATGTTTCCAGAAGTTAAAGTCAAAATAGCTATACTTCAACATTCGACGGGCTTAGGTAAATTAAAAATCAACATCAACCCAGCCCTACTGCTTATAGTATCCATTAAAAAAACCAAATGTTGATTATCAGACCAAAATTAAGTTCAATTTCAGAAAATGCATAAACGATCTGCAGATTTGCACAATACTGATGCTAAGAAATGAAGAGTTTAGTCACTATTGAATTAGGGAGTACCTCTAATATTCGGCACTGCAGAGAAATGGGGTTCCATATTCCTACATAAAAACCCTTTCTGGTTTATTTTCCATATACTGCAATATTGCATTACATAACTGTCAAGTCCTAGTAGTTCTTTCTCAGTATACAGCTTTACCTTGCATATTTTTAAGAGATTGGTCCCACGATTTAAACTCACGACCTCCTGATCACATGGTAGAAACTTCTACTATTGCGCTAAGGCTCCTCAGTAGTATATACAGATTAAGCGTAGTCCCTTTGTCTCATAGCTCCTTTGTGTTCAGAAATTAAAAGGATCATAAGCTATGATTAATTGGATAGCAACTATGATATTTTACATCAACCTGACATCAAGTAAAACACTAATGTCAGAAGAGAAATGCTCATTGCAGAGAGCACGTTGTCTGTCACAGGGTACACAAAATTTTTACCAGCTTCATAAATGGATTCAATGTCTCAGTGATGGCTTGGAGGAAGAAAAATGAGATAACTAGTTAAACATATTTTGATTAAAGATATAAAATATTCTCTTTTCTTCTTTACAAGTCAAGTATATAGTATTCCAAGATAAGCTACATATTACCCATTCACATTTTGCCTATACAATTAGTCTCCGTGATCATCATCTTTTGAAAAGAGCAGTGAGTAGCACCTGGTAGTAATATTTGATTTTACACGGAGATTGAATACTTTGATACCACTTTTGAAACAACATATTCAAATTTTTTTTGCTCAGCCCAAGTCAAGTTGTTTAAGAGCTTCGTAACAAAGTCCACAGACAGTCGCAGTTTCTTTCGGGCAATTTCACAAACACTTCCATTGCAAATCCAAATGCAATATGCAAAATAACAAACTAAAATCCGTTCTTTTGCTAGAGTTCAAACAGATGCAAACTAAGACAAAACCATGAAAAGAGCAAAACTGAAGCGTAACAACATGTTGCCAATTAGCTCAAAATTTAAATGAAAGTAAGCTAAATCTTTCATTTCAAAACATCAGGAAACATTCTTCAAATTAAAAGCCAACTGAATTTTACATCTAAATAATAAAGATAGTCAGACCTTTACTGTATATGAAACAAATAGCAAGAACTTCCAACAAAGAGTCAAGATATGTGCAAACAGCAAAATTAAAGACGTAGAGAAGAAGTATGAAGTTGAAAAAGTACCAAAATTTCCCACAAAAACAACAGAGGAAACGGAAATCCAATTCACAATATTGCAGCATGATGATGAACATTAATTCACATGTTTGGATGAGTTAACTCTTAAATCGTAACATTCAGTGGCTTATAATCCTCAAGCAGTGGAAATCAAAAACAAAAAGGAACCAAAATAACGTAGTCAATCAGCAAAACTTACTAGTAAAAAGCAGGGATAAAGCGCATGGAAATTGGAAAAAGCAACAACCCAGAAGTAAGAACTAAATCAAGAAGAAACACAGAATTAGCAAAGTAGATAAAGAGGGAAGACTGAAAGAGACAAAGTAAACTGGAAGAGGAATTGAGGAGGTAACAAAATCCGGAGAAAGAACTGAGTCGATAAGCTAATTACTGCAGATGTATATTTGCCACGTTGCCCACCTAAATCGAAAGCGGTTATAGATGCTATAACAAAATTTCATAAGAAAATTGATATTCGGCTTAATGTATGCATATTTTGATGTATATTGCCTCACATTATGATCATGTCCCGTTGATTTTGGATGTATAATATAATAATTTGTGTTAATTTGTGGTATTCCTATGTGTAAGAATCACTCGGATACAATTTGATATGAAAGTGTGTGAATTGGAGCTAAAATGGAAAGAAAAGGCAAAAGTACACGTTTGAGAGCTACAGGTAGCGTGGGGCACTACCTGTGGCGCCTGGGCGCTCAAAATGCGGATCTGTACTATTTCGACCGGGACTCGATTATTTTGACCGCAAGACGCCCCCAACTCATACAAAAGCCACCTAAACCTATTTTGAGGGGGAGGACGTGACTTTGATTGAGAATTGAAAGTATGAAACACTCGGGAGCACGGATTTGATCAATTCTTCCATTCTTCTTCTAGTGTTCATTGATTTTATGTTTGAAAATATTATTTTTGATGATTGTATGAACATGAGTGGCTAAGAACCCTATTATTCTTGGGTCATGGGTGCTACATGAATGTTGACATTTGAAGTTTAAATTGACGAGTTTGATTTTATCATATTGGGTTGTTCATTTAATTCTGTTCTTAATTATTTTGCTTAGTAGCTAACAGTGAAATACTATCTACGAATCTAGAGTTGAACTCGAAAGTGGGAATTCTAGATTGCATATAGGATTGAGTAGAGCAAGTTCTTGAATGCGGGCATCGGGTAACGGATTCGCAATTAGGATAGAAAACATGCCTAATTGCCTTGCTTGGTTGAAATACAGGAAGTGTAAATGCATTCTTGTTAATCTTAATTCCATAGACATAAAGGCATTAAGTTAGCTTGGATAGGCGAGTAAGAACTCGACAGATTGTTATGAGTAATATCAACTCTGTCAATCAACAATTCAGATAAATCAATTAGTCATTTTAAGCCAAGAACGCAACATGATTGTTAGCTAGCCTATGACCCTGGAATATCCTCTCCTACTGATTGTTATCCAAAATTGCTTAAGTGTTGTGGTTGATTTCTAGTTATTTCATTGCTTGATAGTTTTTTAGGTAGTAAATTAATCACTTACATATTTTGTGAGAAATCTCTTGAATCGATAAGTTGTTTGAGTTTGAATCAGTCAAAAGTTAATCATAAGTCTTCATGGGAACGATACTTTACTCACTACTCTATTACTTGACGACCACGTATACTTGCGTGAGTGTGTTTGGTCGCAACAGATTTTTGGCGCCGTTGCAGGGGACTTAGAAATTAGCTGCTTGACTGAGTTAAGTTTTTATTAGTATATTTGTTCAAGTTTTAATTTTCAGTTTGCCTTGTTTGTGTTAACGCAGGCTATTCTCTTGAATGCGGAGGAGCAGAAGCACAAACAGCCTCCTTCCTCTTGATCTTGAAACTGAACGAACACTTCAGAGAGTGAGGAGGAAAGTCGAAGCTAGAACAAGAATAGAAAGAGAGTTGGACATCATAGTTCAACCACACCCAATAGAGATGGCAGTTAATGAAGAGCGCCCGGTGATAAAAGCTGCAAGGCCCAATCTTACTAATATGACTCAGGCTATTGTGAAGCCTGATATCACGGGTCACTTTGAACTCAAACAGTATATGGTACAGTTGATTCAGTCCATAAGGGATCTATCTCATGAAGACCCGTAGAGCCACATTCAGAACTTCCTGGAAATTACGGATACTTACAATTATCCGAACGTTTCCAAGGACTACGTTAGACTGACACTGTTTCCCTTTACACTGCGGGGGGAAGGTAAGGAATGGTTACAAAAGGAGCCCGCAAACTCAATCCACACTTAGGATGATATAGTAAGGAAATTCTTAATCAAGTTTTTTCCCACTAAAAAGACAAAGTCGTTGAGGAGCCAGATTCTTGGGTTCCAACAACGGGATGGTGAGACTCTTCGTCAAGCTTGGGAAAGATACAAAAAGCTACTCAGAGACTGCCCGCATCATTATCAGATTGATGAGGTGTTGGTTCATACTTTCGTTGATGGGTTAGACGAAGTGTTGGGTCATACTTTCGTTGATGGGTTAGACGAGACATCAAAGATGAATCTTGACTCAGCTTGTGGGGGTAGTTGCAAGGCGAGGCCGTATAGTGAAATTCAACTCCTATTAAACAATTTCACTGCTAATGATCATAATTAGCAAGGATGGGGAATCACGAAGAGCAATTAAACAGAAAGCGGTCGGTGTAATTGAGCTTGATGACTTCTCAGCCATGAGAGCAGATATAGCAAAATTGGCAAATCAGATGAATAGAATGACAATGCATCAAACACAACAGATGCAACATGTACAACAAATGTCTACTTGCTGCGAATTATGTGGTGACATTCACACAAGTAACATGTGCCCCACGAATCCTGAATCTATCTACTATATGGGGCAACAGAGCAGAGGTCCAATGAATCAGCATGCACAATATGGGAACACTTACAATCCAAATTGGAAGAATCATCCTAACTTCTCTTGGGGTGGAAATCAGCCGACCCAGAATCATTATAGACCCCAAGGAAATTTTAATCAACCTCAGAAGCCTCAGACGCCACCCCAGCAAATAGAAGAGAGTACGAATGACTTGCTGAAGAAGTTGTTACATGACAATCAATAACTCAGGACCGATTTCAGAAATCTTGAGAGACAAATGGAGTAACTAGCGTCAAATCAGAATACTAGGCCTGCAGGCGCTCTTCCCAGTGATATAGAGAAGAACCCTCAAGTTAATGTAGTTATACTCAGAAACGGGAGGGAATTAGAAGAAGAGAAAGGATAAACCTATACCTGAGGGAGAGTATATTCCTAAGGCAACACATGAGTCAAAGAAAGTTGATGCAAGTTCAGAGCCAGTGAATGTTGCAAGGCCACCACCACCTTTCCCCAAAAGATTGCAGAAGAAGAATGATGATCGCATGTTCAACAAATTTCTCGCTATGTTGAGCCAGGTTAAATTGAATATTCCATTAGTAGATGTACTTCGCGAAATTCCAAAGTATGCTAAGTACATAAAAGATATAGTGGCTTACAAGAGAAGATTGACTGAATTCGAGACAGTCGCACTTACTGAAGAGTGCACTTCAAGGGTCCAAAACAAGCTTCCTCAAAAGCTTAAGGATCCTGGTAATTTCACCAACCTTGTGCGGATTGGTAATATCGATATGGGTCGTGCTCTTTGTGATTTGGGGGCGAGCATAAATCTGATGCCCTTGTCCTTGTTCAAGCAATTGGGTCTGGGAGCTCCAAGACCAACCACTGTGATGTTGCAACTAGCTGATAGATCCATAGCCTACCCTGAAGGAGTGATTGAAGATGTGTTGCTGCAAATTGGGAAATTCATCTTCCCAGCAGACTTCATTATCCTAGATTATGAGGCTGTTAAACAAGTTCCAATAATATTGGGACGACCTCTCTTGGCTATAGGTGATGCGATTATTAAAGTGACAAAGGGAAAAATGATTATGAGGGTGGAAACGAGGAAGAAATCTTTAGTATCTACAAGGAAATCCAACTTCCCCGCCATTATGAGGAGCTCTCTATGATATCTGTTGTGGAGGTGGATGAGCAACTTACCGACACGAGTATATATCTAGACGATTCTCTAGAGAAAGCACTCATGTTGTTCGATAGCTTAGAGATTGATGATGAGGTTGAGGAGATGATGCATAATCTAGATGCATCATGTGCTTACATGCAGGGATTAAAACCCTTTGAGCCCCTAAATAGGCCAAGTGGGCCTCCTCCAAAGTCGTCGATTGAAGGAGCTCCAAAATTGGAACTTAAACCCTTGCCCCCTCACCTTCAATATGCTTATTTGGGTGGTTCTGACACTTCACCTGTTATTCTTTCTTCTAACTTGTCTAAATTGCAGGAAGAAAAGCTGTTGAGAGTGCTACGTGAGCATAAACGAGCAATTGGGTGGACGATGTCTGACGTTAGAGGCATTAGTCCAGCCTTCTGCATGCATAAAATCCTCATGGAGGAAGGGCACAAGCCAAGTGTAGAGCAACAATGCCGCCTAAACCCAATCATGAAAGAGGTGGTAAGAAAAGAAGTGATTAAGTGGCTTGACGCAAGTATTGTATTTCCAATATCTGATAGCAAATAGGTAAGTCCCGTCCAATATGTGCCTAAGAAGGGGGGATGACTGTAGTGGTTAATGAAAATAATGACCTGATTCGCACAAGAACTTTGAGTAGGTGGAGAATTTGCATAGATTATAGAAAATTAAACAATGCCACCCGAAAGGACCACTTTTCCCTCCCCTTTATTTATCAAATGCTTGATAGATTAGCTGGACGGGAATACTACTGTTTCCTAGATGGCTATTCGGGGTATAATTAGATTATTATAGCCCCAAAGGACCAAGATAAAACTACATTTACGTGTCCCTATGGCACGTATGCGTTTAAGAGAATGCCCTTTGGTCTCTGCAATGCACCTGCGACTTTACTGACATGGTTGAAAGATTTGTAGAAGTGCTCGTGGATGATTTTTCTGTGTTTGGGTGTTCTTTTGATAATTATTTAATGAACTTTGATAAAGTTCTTGCTAGGTGTGAAGAGACAAACTTGGTGGTAAACTGGAAAAAGTGTCATTTCATGGTACGTGAAGGTATAGTCTTAGGACACAAGGTGTCCAAAAATGGTTTGCAGGTGGACAAAGCAAAGGTGGAGGCGATTGAAAAATTGCCCCCACCGACATCCGTCAAGGGCATTCGTAGTTTCTTTGGTCATGCAAGTTTTTATCATCATTTCATTAAAGATTTTTCAAAAATTTCTTCTCCTCTGTGCAGGCTTCTTGAGAAAGATATCCCCTTCAAGTTTGATGATGCCTATCTGAAAGCATTTGAGGATCTGGAGGGAAGATTGGTGACTGCGCCAATTATCATTGCCCCGGATTGGGCACAGCCATTTGAGTTGATGTGCGATGCGAGTGACATAGCAATCGGAGCTATTTTGGGGCAAAGGAGGGACAAAATTTTTCACTCTATGTATTACGCGAACAAAACTCTAAATCCAGCCCAGATGAACTACATTGTTACTGAAAAGAGTTGCTTGTAGTGATGTGGGAGTTTCACAAGTTCAGATCTTATCTAGTGGGAACCAAAGTCATCTTCTACACAAATCACTCAACTATAAGGTATTTATTTGAAAAGAGAGACGCCAAGTCGAGGCTAATTTAACAGGTTCTCCTCTTGCAAGAATTTGACTTGGAGATCCGAGATCGAAAAGGAACAGAGAATCAAGTGACTGATCACTTGTCCAGATTAGAAAATCGAAACTACGTGGCTGAGGGAGGTTCGATCAAAGAAATATTTTCGGATGAACAGTTATTAGCAATTACCTCGAGTGAAGCCCCATGGTATGCAGACTACGTGAATTTTATTACAAGTGGGGTGACGCCACCAGAATTGACACCCGATAACATAAGAAGATCTCTACATGATGTGAGCCTCTACATGTGGAATGAGCCATTCCTATATAAGCAGTGCACAGATCAGTTGGTTCGGAGGTGTCCCTAAGGAGGAGATGAATGCAATATTGCATGACTGTCATGCTTCTCCATATGGAGGTCACCATGGTGGGGACAGAACTGCCCAAAAAGTGTTGCAATCGGGTTTCTATTGGCCAAAATTGTTTAAGGATGCACACGCCTTTGTTAATAAGTGTGACAGATGCCAAAGAACCGGAACAATCACGAAGAAGCACAAGATGCCCTTACAAAATATTCTAGCAGTAGAGCTCTTTGATGTTTGGGGGATTGATTTCATAGGACCGTTCCCATACTCTAATGGTCACAAGTACATATTGGTGGCGGTCGACTATGTGTCTAAGTGGGTAGAGGCCATTGCTCTTCCTACTAATGACGCAAAGGTGGTGGTAAACTTTGAAAAAAGCACATCTTCACACACTTTGGGACTCCAAGGGTGTTATAAGTGACGGAGGAACTCACTTTTGTAACAAATTGTTGAATAATGTTTTAGCAAAGTATGGAGTTAAGCACAAGGTTGTCACCGCCTATCACCCCCAAACAAGTGGTCAAGTAAGTGTCAAACAGAGAGGTGAAGCAGATTATAGAGAAAATAGTAAGTGGAAATAGGAAGGGCTAGGCTGGAAAGCTGGACGAAGTATTATGGGCATATCGAACTGCATACAAGACCCCCATAGGTACTTCTCCGTATAGGTTGGTTTATGGAAAGACGTGCCACTTGCCCGTCGAACGTGAACACAAAGCGTATTGGGCGATTAAAAATCTAAATATGGATATGGACTTAGCCGGTGTTGACATCCAATTTTGTCCCTCTTTTCTTCCAATTAATTTTTTTAAGCTCTTAAGTTATTAATAATTTAAATACCTTATTTTTGTCACTACTACTATTATTAGTATTTGTGTTAATATTAATTTGATATTAGCATTAGTGTTAATATTATTACTATGACTGCGACCAACATTTTTATTAATATTATTATTATTTCATCATGAAATTATTACTATTATTATTAAGATTACTATTACGATTACTATTCTTGTCATTATTACTATTACTATTACAATTTTATTATACTATTACAATTTTATTAGACTATTATGCAGAACTTTCTCTTGGCATTTTCTTCCATTTCTAGCCAAGCTTTTACCTTCAAATCCCTACTTGACAGAGCATATCTCACCATTTCGGGTGTAACCTGAAGCATATCACTGAAGAATCACGTGAAGATCGAATCCATCCAAAAAACTTCAACGATAAAATTCAAACGGATGCATTTGACTTATTTTGAAATTCGAATTTCAAATTCCCGCTAAAAGGAACCAAGAACCCTAATTTTACACCTATAAATACCAGATTTGGTGGAGATTTTCAGCATATTTCGCTCGCCGCATTAGACCCTTATACCCGTTACTCTTCTTAGGACCACACTCTAAAAGCTCTGTCTTTTAGCCTCTATTGTTTTGCTTTACAATAACAGAGGCGTCACCGTAATTGTTTCAAAGTTTGACGCTTGTTCGAAGTTGCGTAGTAGAGGTCGAAAATCGTAGACCTTCTTGACGACGCCCCGTTCACTGCTCACAGAAAGGTAAAATTCGGCCCTTTTCTGATTTCTGTTTCCTTTAAGTAACACGCCTGCTTAGGAAAATCATGTTTCAGTTTTCTTTCTTTAATTGTACTAAAATATGTTAGTAATATTTTGACAGTGTGTCCGTAAAAGAACTTTTCATTTGGGTATTTTGTCTAATAGTTGTATAATTGCACATCATTTTGTAACTTTAAATCTTTTCTTGCATTTGATAATAAACATGTCGTGTATATTGTTGGTGTTTCCTTAGGGTATCAGGCTATTAATTTGGATTTCAGTAGTTAGTAATGTAGTTGTATACATATGTGTTACTATGCTGGAATCTTTGTTTATATATTTTAAAAACTATGCTTCTTAAGTGACTACTACTATGGTTGGACAATGAATGACATTTTGATGTATTGAGATAAAAGAACAACTTTACTGTCTAAATGATGACGTCTTCTTTCTTTCTGCCCATTTGTTAGAGTAACGAAAATGGCTAGTATCTTGTTCTAAGGTTTAGATAATATATGTATAAGATACCAAAAATGCCTTGCTTGAAATAAATAGGATCGACATAGTGTAAGTTGTTGGATTAACCTTACGTTTTTGCATTTCGGATATCATCTTTATGAGTTCTGTTGTGGCCCTTGAATGAATATTAATGTTATTAAGGCTTTAGACTAAGGATCTTGTGCTAGAAGTGGAGGATTTAAGAAATATTGTCATATACTCAGATTCTTCCCCCTCTTCTTTATGAGATAGAAATTTGGATTTTAGGAAATATTTTCTTTGTTTCTAAATGAGTTTAATGGGATACATGTGTGGAATGTCACTTTTTTGGATATTAAAGTTACTGATAAGTCAAATACCAAAGAAGCCATGTTGTAGGATCCTTCTTTTACCATACACATAGTTAAGCTTCAGACATATGAAGGTTTGGTGATTTTTTTTTTTAATCTTGTGTTAACTAGTACGTCTTCTATGTTTCTTTACTATAACTTTTATAGTAGTTTAGAGTTAGATTTCCTACTTTCTAATTCATATTTCCTCCATTCCTTTTGTTTTGCATGAACAATGGAGTTCCAAAGAGTCCCAACGAGGGACTCAATTCGCT